ATAATTTTATAATTTTATTGTTTCTTATGTATTTAAGTTTAATGAATTTATTTTTATTATTTAAATAAATATTTATAATTATAATTTAAAAAATATTAATATTTATTTATATATGTTCTTCCCCAACAACAAAATTTCCTAGATCTGTCACTGAATCCAAGTCACTTCAATTTCATTCATGGAACTTCTACTTCAAATCACTTGTATACATAAAGAATTTGAAGAAAAAACGAGAGAATTTTGTAATTGTTTGGTTTAAAAAAATGAAGAGCAACATTTTCACTCCGGTGGTGAAGTTTAAACTAAATAAATGATAATGAAGAGAAATTTTAATAATTTTTTTTTTTCCTTTCTTCTTTTCTCTCTCCTTTTAAAGTGAGAAAATTCACATGTTCTCTCTCCTTTAAAATGTAAGCAACTCTTATTCATATCATTATTCTCATAAAAATATATTATAATTTTTTCTTTTTATCATTACCCCAACTACTAATGATAAGTTAAGTTAAAAAATATTAAGAATAATGATGAAAAATACAAGAAATCAAGTTAATGAAAAAAAATGAAAATAATAATTTCTTCAAATACTAAGTTTATTATATTTTAGTTTAAAATTAGTTTAAAAAATATTTATATTTTGATTGGAAGAAAGAATGTCATTAAAATATCCTTCATTCTCTCATTTTTATTAAAATCTTTAATTTTTTTTTTCTTCCTTTAAAGCAAATCCTGTGTAAGCATGAGCGGTGTTCAGTTAAAAAGGGGGAAAATTGTATTGGGAATTGTGGTGAGGAATCTTCCACCATCAGATAAGTCTGAATTGAAAAAGATGTATCATGAAAATAGACTCATGTCTTAAATTTTTGGATCAAGAGAATGTCAAATTCAAATTCACATGTCCACTTCCTTCCAAATCTAGTGAATCTTTCAAGGTTTTAATACTACTGCCTCAAAATCCGACGGATGAAACTTAAATTCCAAGAAGTAAAATTCTCTAGCAACATGTTGGAAATTTTTTCTTCCTGTTTTTAATATAAGATAATTTTTTAAAAAAATTCTTAAAATAAGGAAAATTAAATTTAGAGTAGTAATTAATTTTTGTTTACTATTTTGCATTTTATATTTGTTGTCTTTTGGATTTTCATGTAATAATTTATTATGGTTATTAATTATAAGAAATGACAAAATTGAAAAGTTACATTTCTTTATATTTTTAAAGGTATAACTATAATTTTTTAATAAGTATGAAATTAGTTAAATTTATCTTGTACTAATAACAGGAGAGAATAAACAGTTACACCTGCAATTGATTTTTAAAATATTAAAAAAAGGCAAAAAAAAGAGTAAATAAGACATTCATCCTCATATTGGACAACTTAAACTACTATTCATAGAATTTATTCAAAATGATATATATTATTTTGATGGCTTATTTATTTCAGTCATATATAGAAAAGGCATACAAATTAATGATATTAGGGACAGATGAATTATTAATTAATTAATAGTATTAAATGTGAAGATGAGCATCTGAATGGGGAGGAGGAAAACGATGTAAACAGCATCTGCAGAAGCCGCCCCAGCACTTGTTGATCAAACCAGGACATGTTGGGTATTTTGAACATTCTTTGTCACAATCTGAGTCTGTCACGCATGGTAGTACGACCCCACCAAGCCCTTGTGTCACTCCTACACACGCCATCCAAACATATACCACAATCAATTAGGGTGAGTCCCATGCATTCAGATGTGTTAAATTATTGAATTAATAATAGTTATATTTTTTATAATTTTTTTAAAAATAAATTATGTTATGTTTGCATGAATTGTATTTGAATTACGGATTTGAATGATTCAAATTAATTTATATTTATTTTATTTCGCTGCAGAGAATCTTGCAAACTTTAGACATGACCTCCTCTTGAGATATTCATAAGGTTGTCGTTGATAATAATTGTAAATAAGGTAATTTGGGTCAAATTTGAATGAGCCTGAAAAACTTTGGGTCAAGCTTAATAAAATAGCATAATTTCAATGTTCAGGTGAGGCCTAAATAACACTTTAATTTTTTAAGTGTATGCATATAATTTTTTTATAATAATAAAAAAATTAATTTTAAATTTTAAATTGAATTTTTTAAAAATAGATTAAATTTTTTAAAAAAATCAACAATTTAGTTATTTGAGCTAATCTAAATAAGCCCAAAACTCAAGGGCTCGATTGCACGGATACAATACATCAATACTTAAATTTTTAAAAAGATATGATAGGTTTTCAATATGTGTATATATATTTATAAAAATACAATTTTAGAAAATATTCAAATTATTATACATATATAGTCCTTTTATAATAATGTCAAGTAAAATTAATCATTAATTATAATTTTATTTTCATCTATACCTAATTGCCTATCACCTATTCCCCATTAATAGATATAGTATTAATATATCCTTTTTCTCAACCATCATAAGATTATATTTTCATATTTTTATAATTAAAAAAATATAATATTTATTCTTTTATTACATTCAAACTTATTTTTCAAAGAAAATATAATCCTCAATTTTAAAAGCAAATCAAAAAATGATATTAGTAATAAAAAGTTTAATATTATAAGTTTTAACAAATTTAATTTTTTTAAAAAATTCAAGTATTGATTAACAATATAGAAGTATTGGATACGTATCGAAAATTAAAATTTTTAAAATTAAAAAAATTATTTTAATACTTTATAGATACGTATTGAAAAAGTATTGGTGAGTATTGATATCAAATATGATACCAATACGAATACATGAGGCAATTTAAAATATCAATACTTTCTAGTCCGAGGGTAATCACGTCGAACTTATATATATGGGCTTTTTTTACAAGTTCAAGCTCATTCCAAACTTACCCAAATTAACCACACCTCGAATAAGCCTGCCTCACCCAAATTACTCACTCTAAATAATGGTTCCACATAGTGAGGGTTCATAGTAGTCTAGATTGGTGGTGGTAATGTCCTAAGATTTTTCAAGATACCAGGTGATTAAAAAAGAAAAAGAAATATAATCATGTTCAAAGCAAAGTTAGGCATTAAATATAAATATATTTTTTTTAATTAGAATTTAAACATTCGTCATGTTATATGGGCGAACGTGTATACAAAGAGGGGAAGGAGGGGGTTACCAAATGCAATGAGAAGATGAACCACTAAAAAACCCAAGCTCAGTTTGAGTGAACCTTTTGCCATTTCTTCCCAATTATTTTTCCTATCAACACCAGATATGTGTATTTATCTTACTTCTCTATGTTGAAATGAGGCCACCCTGATTTGACTATTTATATGCCCATCTTACAGCTGCTGATCCATCATCTACCCAAGTTCTTTAATTAATAGCAATTAATACTATTTCTTGGATGTTATAATGTAACAACGTAAATTAACTGTCAGTGACACCTTGAACTTGAATACTCATTCAGTTATAAATGTAAGATACATTTATTTAGTTGACGCTCATTGATTGCAAATAAATACTGTGTTTAAATGTTGGCAAAATGATACTCCCTCCGTCCGAAATTATATGATACTTGTGAAGGATTTTTTTTTTGTCCTAAAATATAAGATACGTTTGATAGATTAAAGTTTCATTAAATACATCAATTTTAATATTATCTTTTTTCTTTATATAATTAATTTTCATCCATTCTCTTTTCAATATATTAAATGATAGGTATTTTAAAAAGTTTATATTTTTATTTTGAAAAGATAAGGTTATTAAATGTATTCAATGAGGTTTATTGGTATATAAAATTTTATCTAAAAGTATCTTATAATTTAAGACGGAAGTAATGCTTTGGGACCAAACCAGAAATTTTAAAAAGTCAATTAAGTACTATGGTCCTTTACTGGCCATAATTGGATCAAACCACACCAAACTGAACCAACTGGCTTGGTAAAAAAAAAAAACTGAAGATTTCCATTCGAGCTAGTAATTAGTTTGCGCTTGGTTCAATATGTTGATTAGATTTTATTATTATTTGTTATCCATAATTACCATTATTTATTAGCAGTATCTATTACTGTCCTCCTAACACAGAATATATGTTTGTGTGTGTGGATCAATGCTATAACACGTGCCATATGAAGTTCTTTTTCATTCATGGTACCTAAAATTCCAAGCATATCAAGGCTATGATTGTCATCAAAAGTCACTCCATGGAAATCACATGAGGAGTTAATCGAAAATATAAGAATTACATGCTCATTTATAAAACAAATACCTTAAGATTGGCAAATATATATAATCTAATTAATCCAAAAGAAAGCCAGCAAGATTTCGTGGTGCCTACTCACACCAAAAAATACTTACTTCTAATGCTTTTTCGACCGAGCTTTTCCCCGTAACAATGTTAACCATGGAAAATGAAATATAAAAGTCACAATAACTAAAATTAATATACATTGATACATACAATGCAATTAATTATGTGATCACTAAATGGGCATGTAAAAATGATTTCTAAATAATAGTTATCCGAACAATTTCAACCAAGTTATATTTTACATAACAACATTTTGTATCCCTTCAAACACTGTACTTAAAACCAAAAAACCCAATCAAAGTTGGGTTGATCTAAACTAACAACCACTTATTTAGTTTAATGAGGGCTTATTATATGGTAGAATACAACTTCAAACAAAATATCCAACAACACATATTTTTCAAATAAATCTTGACATGTCATGCTTATTTTCAAAAAAATCAGACAAAAACAAAACCAAGCAATTTTCATGCTTTTGAACAAATTTTAATTACCTTAGAATTTTTGAAACTTAAATCTCCACACAATATGACTCTTGACCAAACCTTAACAAAGTAATAAATTTTCATACTTAACCTCACCAAAATCTCCTCCTTCTATCTAATTTTTGACCAAAAATTTTTATCCTAAAAATGTACTATATGCCACAACATATGGTACAGTGTCATAAAATATCACTTAAGCCCCAATCATTTGGAATTAAACTGATCCAAGATCTATTTTGAATCGCATATAATCCTAATACATTATCTTAGATACAATTTTACCTATAACTAAGGGCCTAAATAATTAATTAGCATTCATAAATCCCAATCAACATAAATCCTCCAAATACATGTTTCCTCAATTATTATTACTACTTGGAGCATTGTGTGTGTGTGTCTCTAGGTGATGCATAGATCACTTTATTTAAACTAATCATAATTTAAACTTGGTGATGAATATCATGATGACGTGGACGAATAGTAGAAGGAGGAGTATCAGAACAGCAAAAGCACCGGCCATCCCAACTACATCTGGCGAACTTGTTGGGACATGTCAACTGTTCTTTTGTACAGTCTCCCCTACAACAATACTGCGCAAAGCATTTTCCTTTTCTAATCTCTCCTGCCACTCCTTTCCCTACACGTGTCACATTCATCCACATCATCAATTCTTGACCATTTATATACATTAGAGAGAGAGCGTGACATGAGTTGCCAGCAGATGCAACAAGAAACAGAACCAGCAAGCAAGCCACCAGTTTGATTGAATCTCTCCCCATTTCTTCGATATTTTAAATCTTTGGAACCGTCTTGCCTTCAACTATTCATCCACTCTACGCCTTATATATACAATGATGACCCACGTCAATAAATTATAGCAATCAAATTATACAATAATTATCCATTAATATGATTTATAATTTAACTTATTATATTGTAAACAAATGGAGTATCAAATCAATATAATACCCAATAACATTTGCTGTATTAATTATTAAGAAATGCGCATTAACAAGTTATTGAAGTTTTGATGTATCGTGCTTGACTCGATTGATTTAAAATGTATCAAATCAATAATATGATCATACTCTAATAATATCTTCCCATTTCTTCCCAAAATGTTAGACATATTTATTTTTAACTCATTAATTGCTTAGATACGATCAAACAACAAGTTTGTGAACTTTTGATGATCGTGGATTGACTCAATTGATTTGCAATCACTACTTAACTCATTACTAGTTCAACCCCATCCGTTTATTTTTATCATTTAATGTGTTAGCATAGAGGGATAAATCAGTAAAGACAACCAAACGCCTCTTAACAAGTTTCATATCAATTTGGGATTTTTATTAAGATTTTCAGTTCTGAAACATAGGGAAAATGATTAAGTACATCTTAATTTTTTAGTAAATTTAAAGGTGGGTTTTGAAGCTCGATTATACTCAAAAACAGCAGCCAGTCAAACTGAACCCTTATTCTTTGCTCTATGTATCTACTGGGTGCTGGAATCTTACTGCTTTTTGTTGGATGTGTGCTGCTTTAGAGGAACTTGATGAGATTTTGCAGAAAGAAGTGTCCATACATTATTTGATGTGAAGGTGTTGAAGAATGGTATTAAAAAAAAAATGGTTTTGTGTTGCTTCAATGGAGATGATCTATGTTTTGTCTTGCTTTCATTTTTACAAGTGAAGTGACGCTTACTCTGAGTTCCATATTCCACAATTTAGAGTCACTTTCTGCAATTTTATCCAAACTTTTTTTATTTCCTCCTGTTTAGTAGAAGTGGTGCATGTGTGGCTTTGACTCTTATTATTATTAGCCTCTTTCTTTCTAGAAATATAAATTTAGAGCTTGGGACAAAAATTTATATTTTAGCTGAGACAATGTTATTTTATTTTCATTTACCTGTTCATTGAGATCTCCTCCTCCTCCTCCTTTTGGTTTTTAACTGAGATTTGCTTCTTGTTGCCATTCCCATGATCAATTATGACTCCATAAGTTATTGATTTATATAATCTTAGTTTTAATTTTTTTGACCTTCAAATCTTAATTTAAAATTTAAAATTACTAGAAAGAGATTCACATGTCCACTTTTTTTTTCTTGGTAATTTTTACTTCAGAAAATTAATCTGTAAGTCCTTTTAATTTTTTTTTCAATTTTAAATCAGGTTCTCATAATTTATTTTATTTTAATCATGTTCTTATAGTTTGAACAATTAATATATTAATCCTTGAAGGTTGAAGTTATTAATAAATTATTAAATTTTTTCAAAACAAAAACACTTTTAAAATTTATTAAAAAATTGATTGAACATCTTTAGCCAAAAAATAAAAAATTGATTTAATATAATGTTTACATTTTCATTAATTATATATATATATTACTTAAAAAACATAACCAAATTGTATGGGTTCTGAGTTATACAAATTATATAATTAATTCTAAAGTTTTGTAATATTTTAATAAAAATAAAGTGTATAATTTTATTTTTAAAATAAAAAATTCAAGGATTTGAGTCCTTAGGAACTAACACATTTAATTGATCAAAACATAAGGACTTGATTGAAGCAAATTAGGCTACAAGATCCAATTCAAAAATTGATAAAAACTAGAAAGACTTGCAAATTAATTTTCTCCTTTTTTGTTTATAATCTATATTTCACTCTTTCTTTTTAAACTTCATTTTACAATATTAAAAAGGATACATGTTGATCAACGAATCTTCTCCCGTTCTTCGAAACTTTAAAACGCACTTGTATATATGTATAAAAAAAAAACGCACTCATATATGTGTGTATTATTTTTAAGATACTCCCTCTCTTTAAAAAAATAAAATATTTTTTAAAAAGTTAAATATTTAAAAATAAAAGATATTTTTAATTTTTAAAATATAATCAATGTTTTTTTAAGTACCTGTATTGAATAAATCATTTTATATTTATTATAAAATAAAATATTATATTAAATAAAAATAAATGTAAAAAGAGATAATTATGTTAAAAATAAGTAACTATTTTATTAAAGTAATATTAGATTAAAAATGTTTTATATTTTTAAATGATGTGATTAATTCTTATTAAATTTAAGTTTAGAATTTTGGGGCACCATTTCAGGAGAAAAAATAAAGAACAAGTACAATAATCCAATAATATACATAATCCCGATACAATAATTATTCAATAATTTATTAATAAAAAAGGGGTCAGTAACTCAGTGTACAAAATTGTGTATCGCTACTTTCTATGGAAAGAAAAACAATAAATAAGAAAGTCGTCATCGTCACCTGGCGTGAGCAGCAGCCAGCGGAACCAATTCTGACAGAGGCGTAGCAACCGGCGTCGGCACCGGCGACGGAGCTGGAGAGTTCCGACACAGAGGACACGTGGCGCTCAGACGGAGCCACTCGTCCAAGCATTCCACGTGGAAGCAGTGGTTGCAATCTGGAACGCACCGCACTGAATCATTCTTCACATACTCTCCCAAGCAAATCGCGCATGGGCCTCCATTGGGCCTGGGCAATCGCCGACTCTCCCCCAACACAATCTTCGGGAAGGCTTCAATCGTGGGCTTGTCCAGGCCCAAAACTACCACGACCGGCTCATCGGAACTACTGTTACTACTACTACCTACACGGCGGCGGTTAAGGCCGCGGCTGTTGGCCTTGATCCGGACGCAAGCATAAGAAGCAAGCATGATAGTGGAGATGAGGACGAGAATGCTGATCGCAATGGCAATGCCATAGCCGAGGCTCGTGCCGGTGGCGGAGATCGGCGGTTCAGCGGCGGACATGAGAGAGAGAGACAGAGAGAGAGAGGAGGAGGAATGTGGAGAGAAGATTTGTGTTGCGGTGGAGAGTGAGAGTTTATGGTGAGAGAGGGGAAGTTGGGACTTGGGAGGTGACTTTATTAAGGGAAGGAGGAGACGGTTGGGGTGGTGGTGGACACTACCGGATTCCGCGGGAAAAAATTGAATGGCTTTGGGAATTGTGACGTTGACGTTGTCTTTATTTATTTTATTTATTTATTTATTTTTGTGATCAGTGCTTCAATTAATTTTCTATGTTTATTGTTTAATATATGTTCTGAGGGACTGATCTGATACTTTAAATTTCAAATTGATGATTAGCACATAATTGAAGGCTTTGACCCGAAGAGATGTTTATGCTCCCTCCAGTTTATGTTGCGAGCACTTTCTGTGTTAAAAGGTATTATAACGCATTTTTTTAAGGTTGATTATTAAAAATATATGATATTTTAAGTTTTTCAATATATGATTAATAATTTTTTAAAAAACATTTTTATTAAATAGACCACACAACATTTCTCTCTTAAATAAAGCACTTTATTAAATAAGAATATGAAAAATGGTGTATTTAAATATAATTAATTAATTTATTGAGGGCACTAATTTAATTAAAAATGACTTATATTTTTATCAAAGTAAGTATTTATTTTAGAAGTCTTGTTTTAAAATCTAAGATATCTGATAGCTCTTATAATTTTTTATTTATGTCATTACTTTATTCATTATTTCATGTTTAAAAAAAAAATGTTTCATTCAAATTTTATGCTAAGAACGTTGGAAATGATTTTAATAAAAGTGAATATAGATATGAGATTTTAAAATATATTTACTATATTCATGAAATTAGGAAATTATTTTTATTTAATATTTATATTTAAAATATAGATGGACTAAAATGCCCTCATCCCCAACAAAAATTACAACCCAAATTTGTTGGGAATGTGCTATTGAAAGTAAGATCCCTTTCACCGTCTCTCTTCCTCATGCCATTAACTCAAGAAGCCACGTCTGGAATGATCTTGAAGCTTTAACCGTGAAGAATGAACCTAGCCTAGATTCTTGCAGGCAACTTCAATGACATTCATGGGTAAGGGCAGGCCCACGTTCCCTCCCCCTCCCCCCCTCCAACCAAAAAAAAAAATTCCTGAATCTCGAGTTATATATTCTCTCTAATTTATTTATAAATTATTTTAATATTTTATTAAAATAAAAGAAATAATTTTATTAACGTTTTTATTTAAAAATTTGATAATTTTTTTAATTTTATTCCTATTAAATACAGCCACTCTAAAAATAAAATAATCTTCTCCTTCCATCTTAAATTGTAAAGCACTTTTAAAAAAAATTCACATATTAATAAATTTTATTAAATACACTTAGCAATCTTACTTTTTCAAGACAAAAAGATAACTTTAAAAAATATCCTTCATTTAAATACTTCATTGATGAAAGAGTGTTGAAGAAAAGGAATATATAATAAGGGTAGTATATTAAAAAAGTATTATTAATAAAACTTTATTTTTTATCAAAGTGTCTTATATTTTGAGATGTTAAATCTTTTTTAAAGTGTCTTATGATTTAAACAGAGGGAGTAGCATTTAATATTTCTAACATTAAATAGGAGTAAAAGAGTAAAGATAGATATAATAATCAATAATGTATCCTATAAATATTAAATAAATTTTTTTTCTCTATTTTATGAATAAGATCAGAGCAATATATGTGTCCGGAGAAGTCATTTCCCGAAGGACCAGCACAATGACGCCAGCACGATTTGTTATTTTTGTGTTACTGTGTTATTATTATTTTTTGTTTTGCCTGAATTGTGTTATTCAATAAACATCCATCTCTTATATTTACATATTTAAATAGTTAGTGTTTTTTGGAATTAACTTTTTAGTAACAAAAAGAACAAATACTATATATTTATAACATATATATACATGTCAATCTTTTTAATTAAATAGTCTTGAATTAATTATCATACAAAATTATCTATGTGTATAAGTACGTATTTAATGTTTTTGTTACTCAAATTTGAACACAATATCAGTAAATAATAATTTAAATTTTTCAAACGTTCAATTTCCAATGCATGTATTGTTTTTTTTTTAATACCTTTATAATTATCTATCGTAATTTTTGTTTAAAACATCAATATCTAAGTACAGATGAAAACGTATCTATAATGTAAACATTTTTACTTTATAAATTTATTTTAAATACATATCTTTTATTAAATAAATTTTATTTAATACACTTAAAAACATTACTTTTTCAAGACAAAAATATAACTTTAAAAAATATCCTTCGTTTGATACTCCAAGAATGTTAAAGAGAAAGAATATATAATAAGGGTAGTATTAAAAAAGTATCATTAATAAATCTTATTTTTATCAAAATGTCTTATATTTTGAAATGTTAAATTTTTTCTAAAAGTTTCTTATAATTTAAAACGCGAGAGTAACATTTAATATTTCCTAACATTAAATAAGAATAAAAGAGTAAAGATAGATGTAATAATCACTCATGTGTCTTATAAATATCGAAATAAATTTTTTTTCTCTACCTTATAAATAGATCAGAGTAGTATGTGTGTCCGGAGAAGTCATTTCCCCAAGGACCAGCAGAATGACGCCAGCACGATTTGTTATTTTTGTGTTACTGTGTTATTATTATTTTTTTTTCCTGAATTGTGTCATTCAATAAACATCCATTCTTATATTTACATGTTTAAAATATATTTAGTTGTTTTTTGGTATTAAATTTTTAGTAACAAAAAGAACAAAAATACATATATTTATAACATAGATATACATGTCAATCTTTTTATTAAATAGTCTTGAATTAATTATCATACAAAATTATCTATTTGTATAAGTACGCATTTAATATTTTTGTTACTCAAATTTGAACACAATATCAGTAAATAATAATTTAAATTTTTCAAACGTTCAATTTCCAATGCATGTAGGTTTTTTTTTAATAAAACTTTATAATTATCTATCCTAATTTTTTGTTTAAAACATCAATATCTAAGGACAGATGAAAACGTATCTATAATGTAAACATTTTTACTTTATAAATTTATTTTAAGAAATAATTAAAATAAATATTTTAAATTTTATATGTACACGTATTATGTTTCATAAAAAATCCCCCCCCCCAAAATCACAAGTCGGGTTCGCCCACTGTTCATGGGGTTGAAGAGAAAGCTAGAGGTGCCCTAATCCAGTTGATAGGTGTAATGATTTCAGATGTAGAATTCATGCTTGCGCTCTCTTTCCCCACGTTAATCTTTAGAATCGAAGGCGAAGGGTGCCGTGGATTGACCACCGTTGAAGTTCTTGCTAAGAAGTTTGTCGGTGAAAATCTAACAAGGTGACTGGTGTATTTTTGTAGAATCAAGGATGAAGAAGAATCGAAGATATGGAGAAATCAAAGATGAAGTAGAGAAGACGACGACGTTTGAGTTATGGGAAAAGGATCAGTCATCGTCATCAAGCTCCAGCTAGATGCAATAGAGAAGAGGAGAAATAGTGGCGGCTGAGCAACGGAGATCAAAAAGAGGAAGTGTAAACTGAGTTTTTTTTTTTCATTTATTTATTCGGATCCGTTTGGTTGGTTAGCATTTCACATAAAGAAAACAAAATTTTACTTTTCAAATATTAAAAATTATTTAAATAAAATATTTTATAAAAAAATACATTCTGAAAATATATTAAAACAGTATCTGAAAGTAAATTTAAGAAACGTACTACTTGAATTTTTGAAAAATAAATTAAAAATAAGATATTATTTGATTATATTATCTCAAATTAATTCCTTATTCTTTTATTTAAAAAATAATTAATTTATTAAAATATAATTATTAGTTTAATAATAAGAATTAGGTATTAATTTTTAATATTACAAATTAAATAATTAATCATGTTAATTTTTAACATTAAGATATAATAAAAATATAAATTTTTATCACAATTTCTAAAATTACAAATTAAAAAAGTACAAATAAAACTAGATCTCAAGTTTTTAATATTATAATGAAATTTTATGTTTTATTTTTTTTTTTTGTTTAACACATTTTTAATTTTTTAATATATTACATTTATATAATAAAAATTATAAATCATTATAAATCAATGTCCTTTTTAATAATCATATATTCAAAAACACATTTTACTATCATAATCTAAACACTTTTAATATATTAAACTGACTTTTAAAAAATGTATTATAAATATAAATTTCATTTCAATAAGTAATTTTTACTAAATTACTTTTATCAAATAAACTTTTATCAAATGTGCTTTTAGCAGGCTAAAAATCAAACACATATTTAATTATGGAACCCAATTCCATCTGCTTTGGTGAAAATTATTTCCACATGGGAGCCAAATTAAATTTTATTTTAACCAATCAAATATAAAAAAATTTCAATTTTTATTTCCACATATATATATATATATTTCCACCCTCTAATTTCATCACCATGTGGATCCTTAATTGTCATTATTAATACACTTACAAAGGATATCTAATAAAGAACTAATTAGAAAGATGCACAATGTTTTTTTTTTTTTTGTAGGCAAAGGAAATACGTTCCTCTTACAACAAAGAATATCTCCCACAAAGTATGAAGGACAAATGACATATTTTTTCCTAATTAAATTGATTGATACACGAGAGATGGGATTTGAATCTACAATGACTTGGTTACGTGACAAAAGTCCCTATAACCTATTACTCAAAATAACTCTAATTAATTAAAAGGCGTACAATTTTTTAAAAGAGTAAAATTTTAAATGTTAAAGCACAAATGTTCACAACAGTTGGTGGAGGGGATTTGAAAATTCTCACGTGGGATCGGTTTTAATTAAAAAAGAAAGTGTAGCCCTTGCCATGCCAACATGGCACATAAAGCGTAAACTATCAACTAATGGTCAACATCTTCCTTCCATCATATCAAAGTAAAATTGTATCATTTTAAAAAAAATATCAGGACAACATTGCCCTAAAAAATATTTCGGGGTGTCAGTTATGCCTTTCAAAGA